TTGTTTATCTCTCCTAAGTCTTGGTGAGATGTAACCACTATCAGCTATCTCTCTGAAGTCTTGCTGTCAGCTTTTGCCACTATCAGCTATCTCTCTGAAGTCTTGCTGTCAGCTGTTGCCACTATCAGCTATCTCTCTGAACACTTGCTGAGCTGTAGCCACTTATATCTTTCTCTCCTATGTATTGGTGAGATGTTACCACTATCAACTGTCTCTCCTAGGTCTTGGTGAGATATTGCCACTATCTGTTATGTATCTTTTGTTTGGTGAGCTGTTGCCACTATCAGTTATTTTTCCTATGCTTTGAACTGGTTAGATGTTGCTAATATTATTTATCTCTCTTACCTCTTGATAAGGTGTTGCCAGTATCAGCTACCTTGATGTTGGAGAACTGTTGCCACTATAAGCTATCTTTGCTACGTCTTGGAGAGGTATTGCCACTATCAACTTCAGCTATCTCTCCTATGTCTTTGTGAGATGTTGCAACTACTAACTATCCTGGCTATGTCTTTGACAGATATTATCTTCCTCTTCTAAAATTTAATGAGCAATGCCATGTCAGCTATCTGTCCTGGGCCTATTTCTTATAAGTCTTGGTAAGCTGTTGCAATAACAACTTGGTGAGATGTTACCACTATAAGCTATCTCTCCTTAGTCTTGGTGAGCTGTTACCACTATTTGCTATCTCTCCTAAGTCTTGGTGAGCTGATACCACTATTAGGTATCTCCAGTAAATATTGGTAAGCTGATACCACTATTAGCTATCTCTCCTTAGTCTTGGTGAGCTGTTACCACTATTTGCTATCTCTCCTTAGTCTTAGTGAGGTGTTACCACTATTTGCTATCTCTCCTTAGTCTTGGTGAGCTGTTATCACTATTTGCTGTTTCTCCTTAGTCTTGGTGAGATGTTACCACTATTAGCTATCTCTCCTAAGTCTTGGTGAGCTGTTTCCACTATTAGCTATCTCTCCTTAGTCTTGGTGAGCTGTTACCACTTTCAACTGTCTCTCCTTAGTCTTGGTGAGCTGTTACTACTATTAGTTATCTCTCCTAAGTCTTGGTGAGCTGTTACCACTTTCAACTGTCTCTCCTTAGTCTTGGTGAGCTGTTACTACTATTAGTTATCTCTCCTAAGTCTTGGTGAGCTGTTACCACTTTCAACTGTCTCTCCTTAGTCTTGGTGAGCTGTTACTACTATTAGTTATCTCTCCTAAGTCTTGGTGAGCTGTTACCACTATTAGCTATCTCTCCTAAGTCTTGGTGAGCTGTTACCACTATTAGCTGTCTCTCCTAAGTCTTGGTGAGCTGTTACCACTATTAGCTATCTCTCATTAGTCTTGGTTTAGCTGTCACCACTATTAGCTATCTCTCATTAGTCATGGTGAGCTGTTACCACTATCAGCTATCTCTCCTATTTTAGTCTTGGTGAGCTGTTACCACTATAGTGTTAAATCCAGACCCTAAAAAGGGCATGGTAATCCAATAATCAAAAGGGCACTTTATGCCACGACAAGTTTTCATGAGGGCACTTTTTGAACGTCTTTGAAATTATAGATATTTTCTTTATCATGTTTATGTACTTAAATTATTATTTAATACTGAAATCTTTAGTTATACAAGTATCTAAAAGAAAAAAATTATAAATCTATCAGCTTAATTCATTTAATACACACTGAGAGGGCAATTATTGCCAAAATTTAAATTCAAATTTTTTTAATCAAGAAATTAGAATGGTTATTAAGGTTATGCTTAAAAAGTAATAGGTGTGAATCTTTTTGTCACTTGCTCAAGAATTATTTTGGTTTGGGGTATGGATTTTTTTTCCTTGCTTTAATACATGTATTGTTATTTGTGTATGAGGTAAATAACAGAACAAAATTGCAAAAGGGGGGGGGGGGCTACTTGGATAATAAATGTAGAGGGCATTCTCTTTACTTTCAAAATAATCTACCAACAAAATCAAGTGAAAACTGATCATACCAAAAAATTAAACTTGAAATAATATATAAATTGGTTAAAACTTTTTTTTCTTGGCTTAGAAACATTGAGCCTCTGGGTGTCAACTCAAAAAAGTTAGAACACAGAATCATTGAACATGTTGAAAGAAACTAACTTCATACTTTCTTGTTTCCTAGCCCATTTCACACATAATATTCAGTTTTTTTTGGTATTGTACATTGTAATTTGTATGTTGACTTAATTCATCAGCAGTTTTATTTTTCACATTTCTTCATCTACTCTCTTTTTTTTCTACTTTCAATTTAAAAAAAACGATCCTGATTTAAAATGTGTAACATTTTAATTTACAAATTAATCTATCTTTGACATTGGGCTAATTCTTGCATAATCAATGCAATTAAATGATATTTTCTCCTGTTATCTCTTATACCCTGACAGCCTGAGGCATGTTACCTGGCCAGGTGGCTGTGTGCGTTCAAGCGAGAAGTGATTTCCTGTCCTGAATTCACACCTTTGCGTGCATTAAATAAACAAAGGGGCTAATCAGCATGCACTGAATAAACAAAGCTGCTAGTCCATCTTGCCTCTGCTAGGCATATTTATTTATTTTTGCAAGGAAAAAAGGGCATGGCGCTGGAAAAAAGGGCATGGCGCCGAGAGAAAAGGGCATGGCGCCGCGCCATGCTAGTTTGCTTTAGATTTAACACTACCACTATTAGCTATCTCTCCTATTTTAGTCTTGGTGAGCTGATACCACTATCAGCTATCTCTCCTATTTTAGTCTTGGTGAGCTGATACCACTATCAGCTATCTCTCCTATTTTAGTCTTGGTGAGCTGATACCACTATCAGCTATCTCTCCTATTTTAGTCTTGGTGAGCTGATACCACTATCAGCTATCTCTCCTATTTTAGTCTTGGTGAGCTGTTACCACTATTAGCTATCTCTCCTATTTTAATCTTGGTGAGCTGTTACCACTATTAGCTATCTCTCCTATTTTAGTCTTGGTGAGCTGTTACCACTATTAGCTGTCTCTCCTAAGTCTTGGTGAGCTGTTACCACTATTAGCTATCTCTCCTAAGTCTTGGTGAGCTGTTACCACTTTTAGCTATCTCTCCTATTTTAGTCTTGGTGAGCTGATACCACTATTAGCTATCTCTCCTATTTTAATCTTGGTGAGCTGTTACCACTATTAGCTATCTCTCCTATTTTAGTCTTGGTGAGCTGTTACCACTATTTGCTATCTCTCCTAAGTCTTGGTGAGCTGTTACCACTATCAGCTATCTCTCCTATTTTAGTCTTGGTGAGCTGTTACCACTATTAGCTATCTCTCCTATTTTAGTCTTGGTGAGCTGATACCACTATCAGCTATCTCTCCTATTTTAGTCTTGGTGAGCTGATACCACTATCAGCTATCTCTCCTATTTTAGTCTTGGTGAGCTGATACCGCTATTAGCTATCTCTTGAAAGTCTTGATGAGATTTTACCTCTGTCTCAGTCTTGGTGAGATGTTGTCATTATCTGGTATCTTAGTCTCCTATGTCTTTGTGTACAGTTTCACTTGTCTTGATGTTAAACTTTGTTATTATTGCTGCAATATCTTTCTTGTCCTGCACCTTAGTGTCTTTGCTTCCATCATCTACTAGTATCCTTCCGTATTGTGACTACTGTAAACCAAATTTTATTCGCGTGCGAGAAATATCAATACTCTCTATCTTTTTGTTCTAAGCAGTGGTGTGACTGCCACCATCATCATTTCTCTTAGAACTAAGGTGTGAAATGGATGTGATTAACCCCCCCCCTTTCAATACACACACTAAAGATAAGCAATTGTACTGTACACCTGACTCATTCATTTCTACAGAATTTCATTAATTTTTATTTATTGATTCTTGTTTCTTGTTATCGATGAACTATGACTTGTACTTTTGTGTATGGACATTATTATTTTGCCTTTTGTTTTCTGTGCCATCATTTTGAACATCAAAAGTTCTTTATTATGTGAATCCATTGGATCCTGACTTGGCTGGTGTTGGGTATGCTAACCTCTGACAACACTCATTTATTGTGCACTTCATTGATCAAAAATTTGAAATGTCACATTACGTTTGATGAAAGAGAAAGGATGCAGCACTTTAATGTTAATAAATAATTTTGATGTTCAACAGAGAGGAAACTAGGAGTTCTGCTGTTTAATTACAAACATCAGCATGTACAAATCCCCTGATTATTGTTTCATTGACGTGTTAAAAAAATTACTAGATGTCTTTATCTACACTCCATTGATCTTTCTTAGATCTTCCATAATTAATGCATGTTACCACATTAATTTAATGATGGGAAAATAAGATTTGCCATTATATTTATATGGAAGCAGGGGTATCATTTAGAACCTCTAGTTTCACATTTGTCTTAGTAAGGTCTTATACACTATAAGTGAAACTCTGTGGGCAAAAGTGTTATATATAGTTTGTAGGGCTGTGCAATAATATCGATATTATGGTATATTTCGATTCATTTACAAAAAAATATTGTATTGCGATACGTTTTTCCAGTACAAATATACGGGCAAAATGCTTGGGCTTAAAGTTTATAAAGTAAAACATGAAATGATGTCAGAAATGTTTCCAATTGTGCCAAACAGTACAAAACAGTAAAGGTTTCTATTGTATGGCTGCATTTCATTGCCAAAGTGTAAAGAAATCAACTAGAACTTTTTTTGTTACAATGTATTTATAAGTTTTACACACTCTACTTATAAATGGAGGTTAATAAAATAAGAAAAGAGCATTTTAACTGTTGTTAAAAATATTGTAATTCGTATCACAATACAATTCCAAATATTGCAATATATCGCAGTACGAAAATCCCAACCGATATCAAATGTAATAGTTTGAGAATTTTTTTCTTAGAAAAAAGTTTCAAAAAAACTAAATGTGAGAAATAATTTGGCTTATTTTGTGTACCACCTTAAATAAATAGGAACGTTATCATGTATGTTATGAATATAGCAATACATTGTTATACGTTACTTTGTTTTAGATGAGATTTGGAGCCTATACATTTCGGCCTGTATCAAGGTCATTGAGAAGAAGTCACCTTTAAATGAAGATTTCATTGACTTCAACCAGGTAGGTTACTATATTGAGCAACTGTCTCTCCACAGAGAAAGTAAAATAAAAAACACAACCAGGTAAGTTACTATTGAGCAATTTTAACTGTCTCTCCACAGAGAAAGAAAGTAAAATAAAAAACACAACCAGGTAGGTTACTGTTGAGCAACTGTCTCTCAACAGAGAAAGTAAATTAATAAAAACCACACACACATAAGAATAAGCTTCAGCGCCATTAGAAGTCTCTGTTTAAATTTGAATTAGTTCTTTGTCAGTTTTGTGTGAATATGTATGTAGTCAACCTTAATTAATAAATTTGAACAAAATGCACAAAATACACCTCATTTTCCTGTCCTCTTTAAGCTATGTCCAACTTTTCTTTTGAAAGGCAGTTACAATATACATGTACTTAAACAAAGGGTCAATGCATGTCTTGAGGAAATGCTATACTTGAAGAAGAACTTGTGGAGTGTTCCATTTCTCTGTGGGTTTAAGTGTTGTTAATGGATACTGGTGGTGATTTTCTGGTCTATTGTACTTTCTTTAATAAACGGGGATCCTAATTAATTTCAGCCTCTACCTCCATAGGTTTCTATAGGTCTGAGTTCATTACTGTTGGGCTTTATACATTCATACAAAAGACCAGGGATTTCACCCATTAAATCTTATGTTCAGGTATCATAACTCATTATATTTTGATACAAGGGAGGTGGCATTGTGGCAATATGGCCACTAGTCTTGTATGGATGGAATCTTGTTGAGGTATGATAAATGACACATAAGTCTAGACCCTTGTCAGCTTTATACCAGGTGCCTGGCGAAATGAGACCCCTAGAAATGTATAATGTCAGGCTTCATTTATGATAATCTTTGTCAAAAATTTCTTCCCTTTGAGAATTTTCTTCATATTACACAGAATGAATCTTAGGGTGGCCTATGCTGTCCATCAAAATTGAGGTGTACCATTCAATGAAAAAGTCACCAAGTACATACAAGTGTATTGAATCTGTATATTCATAAAAAATTTCATTTAATGGATGAAGTTGAATTATTTCTTTAATAGGAGTATTCTGGCATTGGCTTTTGATGTCATTATATGTAATAAATTTTGCATACATTATGACTGGTAATTTTTTTTTTTTTTTCGTCAGACAGGATGATTCAGATATTTTAATTTACACTTTTGGCTCATCTCCTTACATTCAGAGGAATTTTCTTTTTATATAAGCTTTCAGTCTGTGACTGTATGCTATTTAAGAGTGCAGAATACCTAAGCTAGATCTTCCAATTAAAAAAATGTTTTCATAGCCTTAATATTATGGTATTATGTGGATATGTGGCATTATTGTGAATGAAATGTAATATTTATTTTTTTCCATGAGTCTTAAATGTGCTAATGTGTTTTCAAACTTTTTGTACAAATTGCAAAAAAAAAAGAAAAAAAAAAATATTCCATGCAATATAAGCCTAAAGACAAGTAATTGGGCATGAAAAGCAAGGGAAGTAAATTGGTTGCAGTAAATTGTGCATGAGTTATTGCCCCTTATGATACATTAAGCTTTATGATTGGCATTGACAATTTGCATGTATTTTACAACCGAGTTCCTTCCTAAATGGCTAATTTCATTTTATGTCTGTTTTAGGAGAATTTTTTCCACAGGTATGAAAATGTGCAGAAGTAATATTTGTTTGTCATGACTTGTGGTGATATGCAATTTACACTCACACTTTTTTTTTGCTGAAATTGTAGGAAATTGGAAAACTTTTGGGGATATTTCAGTCAGCCTCAGAGAAAATATTGCTATCTGCAGACTTGTATAAACAATGGGTAAGAGAAAAAGTACTTTTGTTAAGTCATCCTACATATCTGTATATCGAGTAAATGAAGATCTATAGATCTATAACACCCACACAATCGATTAATTTTACCACAAATTTACATTTCATCACCATGTCAAAAATTATAGATTTGATTTTTTTAATGTGTAGTTTTATTCAGAATAATCATTTCAATAACTGATTATGATAATTCTTTTTAACATGTAAATCCCCCTTTCCCAAATTATCATATATGTTACTGTGCTTGTACAAATAAGTAACATATGTTTACATTATCCACTTACTGTGCTCCTACCGTAAACTAACAGCATATCAGTAATTTTTTAATCATCAACTTACATTGTAGACAATTTTTTTCAAAATTATTAGGTTAAACTTTTACTTGACCTTGGAGAGGTCACCGAGGCAGAAGTAGTGCTTGAGGCGGCCGTGACCTCCCACCCTCAGTGTGTGTCGCTATGGTTACAGAGACTGGAACTCATGATAAAGACCAATGTTACAGAGGATGTAGTCCTTAAGGCTTTTAAGAAGGCCAGGAAAAGGGTTTCTGAAAAGGTACAGAAGAGTTTGTTGAGCATGCACGTGACTAAAACTTGGTCATATATATGACATATGGACCGCATCACAGATTTTTGATTATAACAGGATAACCTTAAAAGATACATCATAAGATGTCATGAAAATGGCCATAATAATTTACCCTTTTTAAAAAAAACGGATCAATTCCTATCATTATAAATCGCTAACGTTAACAGTAGAAGTACTGTGTTTGGAAGCAGGCAGCAGATACAGGATTGGTGATCCACTCAACCAAGAGAAATTTATAGACCTGGAGATCACTTAGCCGAATTTTTTCAAGCCTTTGTCTGGTGTTAATTACCCTCGTAGTTAATTGTTTAAGAGCCATCAGTGTACTAAGTAACATATGTTTTACCACTTTTAGGCTTTTATCAAAAAAACTAATCAGATAGACACATGTATGTTCTGTTGGAGACCTCTGTATTTACTTTCCACATAGGTTTATATACTTCAATTTTCATACAAGGACCCATCAACCAATATTCCTATTAAATGCCTACAAACATCTTGTTAGCAGATCAAAGGTGATATTTGAGAAACTTTACTCAAATCTTTTCTTCAGGTAGAAAGGAAAGAGGAAAAATATAACAATCTATTTTTTATTGATTTTTTTCTCCAGTGTCTTAGCAATTGAAATAGGAGAAACCAATTTGTAAGAAACCTTCAGATGAAAGGAACTTTCTTTTTCTTAAGTCGGCTCCACTATGGATCCAGCAGTAGTCATTATCTGAACAACTTAACACATCAGTGATAAAAACATTGAGTAAAATTTTAACTAGAATTGATTGTCATTAAAATATTGATGATAAATGTTTGCTCCCAGTAGTCAACTCCATTAAAATGTTGACCCACTAAAAGACAAGGCTTTATTGTTAGATATTTGTAGATACAGGGTTTGCATCAGTTTGCTATGAGGTGTGAGTAAATACATTAGTTGTGACTTTTGCCTTCTCTATTCATGGTGAGGTTAATTCTTTTAAAAGGAGAATTTTGATGACAAAGCCCTTATTGATCTCTTTAATTGGAATCCAATGTCCATCATTACTCTTCAGCACCAACGTCATGGAGCGGTAGAACTTGATATTGGAATTACCGAGTTTGAGCATGGACATGCAAATGTTATCAAATGGACATCTTTTCAGCACTCATATCGGTCATTCAGAAGGGGTTTTTACCCCTTTAATGAAGGGCTTGTGCTCAAATATTCCATAGATTATTTTCTGTAAATTCTGATTAAACGGTTTAATTACAATTTCTAGTCACTGTCATATCTAGAATCTGTTCAATTTCCTCTCATTTACGGAGAAATGACTAGCTTTGGCAGAAAGGGAAGATTTCTCTGTTCTGAAGAAGTCTGAGTGTCATTGGTAAATACAGATAAATGACTCTGGACAAAAATGGCAGCCTTGTCAAAATCAAACAAATCTGCATGGTTCTAGTGTTCTAGAAATGAGCAAGCATTTTAATAAATCCTTTCTTTTCTCTCAAATTAAACAATTCTTGATTTTATCTTTTTCATAGGTGGAAAATTTATAGATCTATTATTTTACTGACAACGATGATAGAATATGGATAATAGCCCAACATCAAGGTTTTTGATTTAAGTCGGAGAAAAAAAGAATATCAAAGATAAAGGGAAGAAAAGATTTTTGTATAGCTAAAAACCCTTCAAAGAGATATAACGTTTGCAGATGGATGCAAGTCCTTGAACAAAATTTTAAAAAAAAAATGTTGCTGTTGATTATTCCATAGGATGAGCCAAGACTCTCAATCTATTTTTAGCTCACCTGAGCTGAAAGCTCAAGTGAGCTTTTCTGATCACCCGTTGTCCGTCGTCCGTCTGTCCATCCGTCTGTAAACTTTTCACATTTTCAACTTCTTCTCAAGAACCACTGGGCCAATTTTAACCAAACTTGGTACAAAATATCCTTGGGTGAAGGGGAGTGTAAATTGTTAAAATAAAGGGCAAAGTTCCCTTACAAGGGGAGATAATCAATAAAAGACAAAAATAGGGTGGGGTCATTAAAAAATCTTATTCTCAAGAACCACTGGGCCAGAAAAGCTGAAACTTATATGGAAGCATCCTGGGGTAGTGTAGATTCTAAATTGTTCAAATCATGATCCCCGGGGGTAGGGCGGGGCCACAATAGGGAATCCAAGTTTTACATTGAAATATATAAAAAAAATCTTTACAAATCTTCTTCTCAAGAACCACTGGGCCAGAAAAGCTGAAACTTATATGGAAGCATCCTGTGATAGTGTAGATTCTAAATTGTTCAAATCATGACCCTTTGGGGTAGGGCAGAGCCACAATAGGGAATCCAAGTTTTACATTGAAATATATAGGAAAAATCTTTTAAAATCTTCTTCTCAAGAACCACTGGGCCAGAAAAGCTGAAACTTAAGTGGAAGCATCCATTGTTCAAATCATGACCCCCCGTGGGTAGGGCGGGGCCACAATAGGTATATTAAAAGGGGGGAAATCTGGTAAAGAACAGCATGGCCAAAGTTACTCAGGTGAGCGATGTTACCCATGGGCCTCTTGTTCATTATTGCCATAGTAAGATATTAATTAGTTTATTTATTAATATTGTCATAATAGGACACAATTGTTTTCCATTAAATCTAAAGCATCATATTGTTTTTCACACAGGAGAGCTACCCACTATGGTGTTTAGTGTTGGAGTTCTGTACAGCATGTAACCTAACACAAGTCCAGGAACTCTTTGAGGTACTGTCTTAATATATGTTAGTTACACAGATTATTTCTGAAAAACAAATTGCATTGTAAAATTGCTCCCCAGAAAGGCACAAACATTTGTGAAAAATATAATACAGTTAAACTTTGGTATCTCAAACACTGATATCTGGAATACCATGGATATATCGAAGTCCCATACCCTTATTCTTAAAGTATTTTATCCTGGATATATTGAATCCTCAGATTTCTCAGTCCCATTGAGTTTGAGATAATGAGGTTTGACTGTATAAAAGAAGTGTCATACAGAAAAAATTTCTAGGTTCATCTTCTATTAGAAAGAGGAAATACTTCTCTTCAAATCTATCCAAAAGAGAAAATTGACCAAAGTGGAAAGAAATACAATATTTTAAGGACTCTGGAATCAGGTTAGCTGATAATGACTGTGGTGTGTAAGAATTCAAAGATAATACCACTTTGACCAGAAAAATGAGGACATATTGTGGATTATTTGGCCTGGATAATTAAAAAAAAAATTTCATATACATGTAGGGGTATCTCTAATCATTTGTCCAAAAGTCAAATATATAGAGGTGTTGGAAGAATTTTGTGTTTAGTATTTTGACAGTATCTTTATTCACTATTTTATTTGTGTGTTTAGTATTTTGACAGTATCTTTATTCACTATTTTATTTTTGGTCACAGTCAGGAATCCTTGCCTGTAGAGAAGTTTGCATACCTGTCAAAGAAACCTATCTACAGTGGACCTACCTGAGGGACGGTGTCAAGGCAGCTCGTCAGCTATATACAAGGTAAGAAAGGTATACCTGTCAGGTGTATACCAGGTATCCCTGTCAGGTGTATACCAGGTATTCCTGTCAGGTGTATACCAGGTATCCCTGTCAGGTGTATACCAGGTATCCCTGTCAGGTGTATACCAGGTATTCCTGTCAGGTGTATACCAGGTATCCCTGTCAGGTGTATACCAGATATCCCTGTCAGGTGTATACCAGGTATCCCTGTCAGATGTATACCAGGTTTTCCTGTCAGATGTATACCAGGTATCCCTGTCAGGTGTATACCAGGTATTCTGTCAGGTGTATACCAGTTATCCCTGTCAGGTGTATACCAGGTATCCCTGTCAGGTGTATATCAGGTATTCCTGTCAGGTGTATACCAGTTATCCCTGTCAGGTGTATACCAGGTATCCCTGTCAGGTGTATATCAGGTATTCCTGTCAGGTGTATACCAGATATCCCTGTCAGATGTATACTGGGTATTCCTGTCAGGTGTATACCAGATATCTCTGTCAGGTGTATACCAGTTATCCCTGTCAGGTGTATACTAGGTATCTCTGTCAGGTGTATACCAGGTATCCCTGTCAGGTGTATACCAGGTATTCCTGTCAGGTGTATACCAGATATCCCTGTCAGATGTATACTGGGTATTCCTGTCAGGTGTATACCAGATATCTCTGTCAGGTGTAAACCAGTTATCCCTGTCAGGTGTATACTAGGTATCTCTGTCAGGTGTATACCAGGTATCCCTGTCAGGTGTATACCAGGTATTCCTGTCAGGTGTATACCAGATATCCCTGTCAGATGTATACTGGGTATTCCTGTCAGGTGTATATCAGGTGTGTATACCAGGTATCCCTATCAGGTATACTCCAGATATCCCTGTCAGGTGATTAGAAGTACTGGACTAAGTCAGGAGATCATCTTCCTTTCAAGAAGATGTTTAAAAAGATGAGAGAAAAAAGTCAGTCCTGCTTCACCACTGTTTATGGTTGAAGGATTGCAGATCTAGACCCAGGGCCATAAAACTTAGACAAACTCACTTTTGATCTCAGTCTCACTTTTCCACTATTAAATTTTTTGGTAAAAGTGAGACTGAGATCAAAAGTGAGCTTATGGCGCAAGAGCCTGGGGCCCATTTTACAAAAGAACTTACGACTAAGACCAGAAACTTCAGTTGATTGTAAAATTTTGCAAAATTAATGATTCTGTTTAAAATTGCTAGCTTTAAAGGGTCTTTCTACATACCTTTTTAAAAAGATTAAAACAATTTTCAATTTAATGTAAATTGAAAAGTTGCTAGCAGAATTAAATTTTGGTCTTAGTCGTAAGTTCTTTTGTAAAACGGGCCCCTGGTTCTCTGCTTCAGATGACTTAGGATGATCTGGATCTTAGCTCCGGATGACTTTGGATGATCTGGTTCTCAGAAATGGATGTCTTTGAATGATCTGGTTCTTGGCTCTGGATGTCTTTGGGTGATCTTGTTCTCAGCTCTGGATGTCTTTGGATAATCTGGTTCTTGGCTCTGGATGACTTAAGATGATCTGGTGTATGGCTCCTGATGAACTAGAATGCCTCTCTGTGGAAATTCTGAATAAGCCATGTATTGCATATCATCTTGTATGCATGTTTCAGTGAACTCAATACCATCTTAATCTGTTATTAGCAGAGGATTTTTTATGATCACTGAACTCTTAGTTAAAATTGTTTGATGTTTGTTTTGATGTATAATTGATTGTGTTTATTCTTTTAGACATGAAATTCTACCATCACTGAATTTATTTCACTCATCATATTAAAAGTTTATTAATGAAGCAAAAAACTTGAAAGTAATGGTTTTGATGATTCTGTCAGTTTAAGTCTTATTTATTACATTGTGAATATTTTATTGAAAAAATTAGGTTCACCGCAAAGATTCATCCATTAAAACACAAACTGCAAATTTTGAGAAGACTTTCAGAGCTATTTATTGGCATTGTATTTGGAAGTGTAGGAGTGGATCTATATAATTTACCAGCGATATAAAGCACTGTGTAAAAGTGTTGCATTGTTTCCCCAACTTTCAATTGAATACCATCTCTTCAGAAGTAATTTGTGCACTTCAAAAATAAAATGACTTCACAGGAAATGTAATATTCAACAAAGCGCTATTGAGATATCAAAGATTGATGTGTCTTGGGGCATTGGTTTATTGACTATTTCATGTGTGGAACAGTGGAGAAACAACATATTTCAAACTGGCTGAGCTGTAAATAAAGACCTATGAATGGCCTGACATCAGTGATAATTTTCATGCCCATATCAATAAATGTTTTATATATCTACACTGCTAGACATACAATAGGCTAAAAAGTTTTCTTTGGGTTCACATTAATGATTTAATAAGCCCTGCAGTACAGGATATAAAATTCATTCTAGTGTATATATGGACATTTTGCATGTTAAAGACACATCTGAATATTTTATAGATGCTAATCTTAGTGTTGCTGACATTACCTGAATGTAATAGCTACAGTATGTAAAGTCAAAGTGAAGCCAAAATACTGCATTAATGTCTATGGTGCATTTCAGGGATCTGCCCCTAACCTCCCAGACTGGTAACCTACACGGCTTTAATGGTCCAAATCGGTTAATTATAGCTGTGTTGATTTATCTTCATTGCTTTTTGTCATATTTTGAAGTAAGCTATTTTGTTATTATTTTCAGTTCATTTCACAAAATACATTAACGCTTTGTAAACATTTTGTTGCAGGCTCCAGCATTTAAAGCCCTTGTCTCTGGGTTTTTATCATCTTTACATCCAGGTGGAAAAATCACAGGTAAATTGCTTTTACAGGAATAAATATGTAATAAAATTTATAATAAATGTATACCAAATTCGACACTCCCTACAATATCAACAAAAACTTGTTTAATTATGATGACCCCTACCTCCATAAAAAATACAGGTACTGTCATTTGGTTTGTATCTACATACTGAAGACACAAAGGACATATAATAACAATCTAAGAAACCTGTGTAATTTTCTACCCATGGATTGAACAGAAATTGTGATTCCACGGAATTATGACCCCGTTAAAAAAAAATGTTTCCAGTATATGTACATGTAACTCATCGGGTGTCACATTGGGGGGGGGGAGGGGAGGGGGGGTAGGTCTTGCATCAGAAGAAACTCTTCCATATTTCTGCTGCATCTTGGTGGGGTTTGGGATAATGAACTAAACAGAGAATTAAAAAGTTTGATGACAGGGACCATCAAATATTGCATAGTCAAAATTCAATCTTTTTTTCAAAATGCTTCATAAAAAGAGCATCAAATACTACATGGTTAAAGTGTAATCTTTCTTCAGAATGCTTGAGGAAAAGAGCTAAATGCAAAATTAAGAAATAAATGGTCAAATCAGAGGAAATAATATAATGAGTAAATTACACATTATGTAATCAGACCCTGCAGATTAAAGTAGCTGAAATTCATACTGGTAGTTAACCCAACATCATTTGTCAATGGAATGCAGGCTAAAACTCAAACGAGCAATCATTCTTCATTTAGTCATATCTGAAGTGCAAGCGTGATCTTCATTAGACATTTTAATTGTATCAAGAGTAGGATAGGGATTGTTACTTCAACCAGTCTCCATCAATATTAGTGCTAAGGTGATGGAACAAGGAAAGCTATAACACATAAAATCTTATATAGGAATGGCCTGGCTGTACGAGCTTACATTGTGCATTATGCATGGTAACTGCACAGGGACAAGTTATACAATTTATAATTCATACTGTCAAGTTTCCTGGAAGTCCATTATTATTGCTAAAAAAGAATGACTAGCTGTATCAAGGTCATCGAATGTCTTAGCCATCACTGGCAGAGTTGTGTTGATCATGGAGTGATTGGGAGTATTGTAGATTTCCTGTAGATGCTGATCTGTTAAATACGGTATATACTTAATTCTGACAGGCTTTGTACCACCTAATAACCTCATCTGTTCTGTATGGAATATTTATAGCTGTTCTTTTTTTTATTCTATTAATGGTTTCTATCAATTTTAGCAAGAAAAAATTTAACAAAACTGTCATTGTTTGCAAACCCCGTCCATTGTTTTCTCTTGTTTGCATCACACAGAATACTAAAGGTTAAACTCAGTTTTATACTTTTGTATCAGTTTTTAGCCTCTCTAAATCAGTTCTTTTTACAATTAAAATATGAACTGACATGAATTTAATTGATTGGCAAATTTGATGGGTGTCTGGGTAAACAATTTCTTGTTAAACAAGTACCTGCCAGCATTAATAACTTTTTAGAGTACCATTAAAATAATGATTTGCACTTTTGGGAATCATGTTAAGATTTATTTGGTTTTCCATATTGGAAAACAAATACAAGTACAACCTAGTTCATCTGGGTGAAGGACATACTTGTAAAAGGACATTTGATAAAGAGCATATATGCATGTATTTAAATCAATTGTAAATAATTAATTGGACATTTACACAAAAAGAAAATAATGGATGGCAAAAAGGTACTAGGTTTTTCTTTCTTTTCTTTTTTTTGATGAAATAGAGAATCTACCTCTTGCCTTGGCTGAAATTTTGATGGAACATTTAAATGAACCTTTTTAACATTTTCAAATAATTTTATTTTGGTTGTAACACTTCATTTAATTGGATAAAAAAAAATTAGTTTATACCATATAACCTGTGTTGCCTATGTCACAATGACTTAATTACATCAAAGAAGTATCAATCCGCCTGATGTTAACATTTAAAATATGTACAATTTGATGTCATTTTTGATGGAGAAATTGTCTTATTTTCTACACTTAATGATGAAAAATTAAATTATAAGGAATGAATTTAATAGCTACCCAAGTTATACAGGTACATGTACCGGGTATAACCTGGGTTGGAATAGTTTACGCTTTTTCTATAATCCGCTTTGCGGTTTATAAAGCCTAAACTGCCCCTTCTTAGGCTATACAGTATTACTTGGGTAGCTATTAAATTCATTCCTTAAATGTACATCTTCTTTGTGTTAAAATAATTTTTTCAAGGAAAATGTCCAGAATTTATAACACACATCCTGACCTCTTTTATATAGCACACATCCCAACCTCCTTTTTTCTTACATGTGTTTCATTTTTTGAAAGAACAGTAATTATTATTATTATTTTTTGTATTATAGGTAAACCAGAAGATACAACATTTGAGATCAGCGTATGAGGATGCTATAAAGGAATATGGATCATCAGACTCAGGTAATCTTCATCCAACATTTAAACCAGTACAGTGAACTTTATCTTTTCAAATACTTTCTACAGTAAAACTCATTTAGTACATGTACCAACACGGATATAGCTTCACAGATAAAGTGAAATTATTTTGAATTCCTGGCAAAATGCTTATCTAATCTTCATAAAATATTATGGTTAAAATGAACTCTGATATACGTATTTATGGATATAATGAACTGATTTTGTGTCATGTAGAGGTTAAAAATAGTGAAATTTACATCTTAGATAATAAATTTTCAATATTTTAAAATTCAGTGTTGAACTCACTTTATTTTTTGTAAGTATTTTGAAATTCATCACAAATCTTTAGCACCTCAGGAGAGTTTTGTATTTAATACCTTCCCAAACATATTTGATGATCAGAGTTGAAGGATTGATTAATTAAAGATGCATATTGTGAATCTGTTATATCTACCTTAACAAAATCATCGTATGGATATAATGAATTAAAGAAAAATTTGCAGGTCTCCAGGACTTTACTTTAACCAATTTTCACTGTGTACTTTTAATTTTTACTTTTTATGTCCCAAACATTTCTAATTTTGACCATTTCAATATTTGCTCAAAGTGTTTCTCTGCTATATATTTATGAGCTATTAAGCAGCTTATTTTAAAATTTTCCCATGAGTAGGAAATATACAGATATAAATCAAATGACACACACTTCTTCCTGCTCATTTTAGGTATCTGGATTGAGTACTTCCAGCTGGAGTCGGAACATCCGGAAGGAAGTGCGGAGTCGGCAGCTCAGATACACTTCAGAGCTCTTCGGTGTTTGGAAGGAGAAGAAAATGAAAAATTTGTCACAAAACATACACTTATGCAGACTGGACACCTTAGATAATTCTGATATTTAGTGTTTTATTTACCATGTTCTTGTATATATCATTAGATAATAAAAGTATATGTACAGTATAGATGAATATGGTAGCTTCTCAGAAGAAGTTAAGCTTTGTACAGTGGCACTGTCCAAGTAAATAAAGTAACTCTGTTGAAGGCATAAGAGTTTTAATGTCTCTTAATGATTATAAGAAAGAAATGAAGCATGGGTAATCTAAAGATGTCTCCTTATTGGTTTTTGAGTTTGATGAACGGTATTGCCGTGGATACTAAAAATAGAAATTTCTGTGAAATTCTTTCAAAACACTACTCTTCCTACAGTTTTGGTCCGATTTCAATACAACTTGACACACAAGGAGACTGCATCACTATACTAATATGGTTTTTGATTTTGAGACTAAAGCAATGGCCATTATTCCATTTATTGCTGTAGCACAGTGTCAAGTCCAAGTGCTACTTTTTTCTTCCTTTGTTGCAAGTACAAACTAGTAGAGCTACAGTCTCATCAGACTTCTGCTTTCAAAGTATACCTTCAAATTATGTTGCAAAATATACAAATTTTGCTTTACAAAAACAAGGAGGAAGAACCCACTCTACCTTTAAAATACACTTATACGACACAAAATTCATATCTTTCCAAGAAAAATTTGAGGTGCAGTTATACAACGGTCAAATCACAAACAAGACCTACCTGGTAAATGCAGATACATGTTGGGGGTGTGTGGTTCGTGGTTAACATGTCTGTCTTTTAGAAAAAAAGATACCCAGGATTTTTATGGTTTGGGTTCAATTCCCAAGAAATCTTCAATTTCTTTTGTACCAAAAATTTTTCTTTGAGAGAATTTTTCCGTAGAAAAGTTTTGTTTGTCATAATATCATTCCTTGAATAATTAGAACTTTGTTCCAAATACTTAGTTCACAAGCTGAATTTGACTTTTGTATTTTGAAGCTACTGACATTTTACACTCCTGATCACCCATCTTCTTTTAGAAAAAATTCTAATTTTAAATTTGGACCCACCCCAATCGAAAGTCTAATGCAGAGTATTGTGATTTGTGATAAAAAATTATTGGAACAGACATCCAGGTAGCATCAGCGATTCTCCAACTTGATCAGCTCTTTGGGATAAGAACAATTATCAGACAAGAGAGTAAAGATCCACTTTCTACCAATATTTAAAATTGAGCAGAACTTGGTAGAAGTTCCAGCAGACTTCTACCTGATCCACACAGCCAGCACATACCTTCCATATTCCTTCCACCAGGAAGGATGTGTGCCAATTGTTTTTCCCATGAAACATCCTGGATTGGAACATTAGCCATTCAAGTTGAGGAGTTCAGGTCAGCACTGGGCATCTTACCACCAGCCCAGCTGTGTGTGGATTAAGAAGTCAATTGTTTTTAATCTTTAACTGTATATATGGCTTGTGAGGTTTTTATACTGACCACTAAGAGAATAACTGTCGACACCATGGGTAAACTGCTGGAAAACTGATCCCAACCAGAATTATATAAAATGGAAATATATAACAAATCCAAAAGAAGGTTAGGTTACATGGAAATGGTTTAACATTCCTCCCTAATTTCATTGGTAACTTGTACTACGGAAGATTCAAATGAACTGATAAAAGGTGATGTCAAAGGTGTTTATCATGGTGAAGTTAATTTGTTCGTACGGATAAAATCCTCGAACATTGTCTTAATCTTTATAATGCAACTGATGAACAGACAAGATTGGTTATTTTTTAATTCTTAAATTTTCATGATGAATAAAATTCAGGTGACCTTAGTGGTGATGTAATGTAAACTACTTTAGTGTTTCAAAAAAAAAAAAAACATATCTGGCAGTGTGTTTAATTTTGTAGAACATTTCAGTGCAACTAGAACATAAATTACATATACATGTTTATATAAATATTTGTCACTGCAGAGACATCTGTGCACTGCTGTAATTCCAAAGGAAAAGAATGCAGTACATATACTGGGTACTTATTCACCCCAGTACACAATTATGTCACACAAGACTAGAGAGCTCAATCATTGCTACCCTTGATTTTTTTAAATATATCTTTGACTATAGGTTTTTTTCTGATGACAGCATCAGATTAAATGTAAATAAAGATTAAATGCAAGCATAAATCACGCATATATCTAAGAAATTGCAATAAGTGGGAATTCTTTGTCCAGCAAAGATGTGTTAAGGGGGCTAACTCTAGTTAACTCCGATTAAGTACTTGCACACAACATTGAATAAAAGCTTATTTCCAGCATTTCTCTGAACACAAAATATATTGGGAGGCCAGCTCCACTGTATTTAACAACCATATTTTATACAGGTTTTGAAATTGTGAAAATGGAAAAAAAAAAACCAAGAAATTTAGAATGGGTAACATATATACATGTACAATGAACTATTATTTTATACAGGTTTTGAAATTGTGAAAATGAAAAAAAAGCAACAAAAAACAACAGAAATTTAGAATGAGTAACATATATACAATGAACTAACATACCTTGATTACACTCTTCTTAAATTTTTAAGGTAACTATAACATGGAACGCTTAAATGATGAGATACTTAAACATTTCTGACTATGGGTTAATGTTTAAGTTTTAACAGTTATAGGAATCTTTTGTTCTATTATCATGCTGCTTTATTAATTAGATGAAGGATGTTAGAAAGACAACCCATTCAGTAACATAATAGATATTATTATCCTTCAGAATAATACAGTCAATCTGATTGGCCAAGAGCATGTCACATGCAAGGAGACAATTCATGATATCTCCCTCATGCACAGGGTGAGAACTGTATTATCTCCCTTTAGATGAAAATAAAATGTTGTAAGCAAGATAACTCATATACATGTATATAATTGATCTATATATGCAGGATTGGTAAACAATAAATTCCAATAGTGACATCAAAGTTGTCTGCTGACATGTTTTTGAAAGTATGGAATCAGAGCAGTGGGTAGGAGAACATAAAGTTTGACTGAAATTTTCTACTCTATCTTATCAAATTTAGATTCTTCAGGATGATAATACTATTATGGACTGTATAGAAGGGAGGCATCACAAATTATCAAGTCTGATTAAGGTTATCACCCCCAGGCACAAATGTCCTCGGGCGACAACCCTACTCATACCTGATAATTTGTGATGTCTTCCTTCTAAACAGTCCTTAATTGTAAACTGTCACATGAGGTTCAGACTTGTAGAAATTGTCACATGATTCTAACTTTGTAGATAATGTCACATGATTCTAACTTTGTAGATATTGTCTCATGATTCTAACTTTGTAGATATTGTCACTTGATTCTAACTATGTTAAAGATCTCATCCAATCAGACGTTGCCAAATGGGGAGGACCTTTCTTTGTTGATTATTTCCTTTCTGATCACCATGGCAACACAACTTAACCAGCTTCTGCTTGACTGCATTTCTGCAATAATTTCCCAGCTATCTGACTCAGGATCATAACACTCGATCGTGTCATGGTATCTACAATGAATGGATAGAAAAGAAACTAAATTTATTAATCATATCCACTTATATTTATTTAGCAAAGAAATAATTTTCAGATTCATCTTTCATTTTTCCTCCTTGATGAAGATGTAGACAATTAGAAATTCTTAACACCTGAGGGCTGTAGGCTAAAATTCATGCAATAGTGATGATAGTATTTTTTCAGCTTTGTTATCTCATTAATGGAATTTTGTAAAGAGATGCAAAAGTTGATCAAAAGGCACATCAGTTGACAAATGTATGATCAGAAACAATGTAAATATCAATCAAAATGTTCTCTTTATTTTATGGCTCAGATTAGCTAAAAAGTTCCAAAACTAGTAAACTGTGACAAAATCAAAGTCCCTAACACTTATTTTGTACTACCTGTCCCATCCCTCTTCTCCCCCACACACGTAGATCTTCCCGCCCACGACAGCCACCCCTGGGCGGTACCTCCGCTCGGACAATGAGGCCTTTTGGATCCATTGGTTGGTACGAGGATTATAACACTCCACTTTGTTAGTGTTTTCTGTAGAAGCGTGCCATCCACCTTAAAGTAAACATAACTTTTGAGAGCATAGCACATCAAACATCTGATTTGAATCAGATTACATTCATATATATGTAATTAATCTAATATATTTGAGGGTATCCTTACTGATAAATTGTGAACCTGCAAACATTAGATAAGAAGATTCCACAAATTCTTTTGCAAAGGCTGATTTTTAACATAAACTAGATAATGAATCAAAACAAAAAAGTCATACAAGTTTACATTTTTAAATAGTGCTGTATATGAAAAGAAGTGAGTTCACAGAATCTGAAACTGTTATGAAAAATTGTTCATTTTGACCAATCTGTGACTAAATACCTATGATGTATATCATGCCATCCAGTACACAGGCCCCCGAACCTGACCGTGGAATCAACATGGGGGACTTCTCTGTCCAGACATCGGAGCGAGGGTTGTAACACTGGACAAGTTCTATCCCATCTCCATCATCCAAAATGGCTCCCCCTAAGAAACATAGGTAATCAAAGATTACGAAGCTCAACTCGACAAAGGTTATCTATAAGTAAGGCAAATTTCACATCATATTTTTTCTAGTTAATGTTCATCACAAGATCAATATCCATACAAGTTTGGTTTAAGAAGGACTTGTAGTTACTTGGAAAGTAATCCGCACAGAGACCTGCTCAAAAAAACTTTTAACCTGTTTACTAATCAAGACAATTTTGGTCAGTTCCAACATTCAAAGTAAGTCTGAAAGTTTTCATTCTTAGATGCACCATCCATGCAAGTTTAATCATAACATGCCATAATATTATATAGCTACTCCAAAAACATTACCCTGGTCACTCATCCGGAAAATGTAGGTCACATTCAAACAAGTCTGAAAGTGTCCATCTTAAGATACATCATCCATGCTAATTTGATTAAAATATGGCTAAAATTCACTCATCTGGAAAATCTAGGTCAGATCCAGCATCTGAACCAAGTGTGGTAGTGTCCATCCCTAGATGCATAATCCATGTAAGTTTGGTCCAGATAGGGCTTATAGTTACTTGGGAATAGACCTGCTCCAAAAACTTTAACCTGGTCACTCGTCTGGAAAATCTAGGTCAGATCCAGCATCCGAAACAAGTGTGGTAGTGTCCATCCCTAGATGCATCATCCATGCAAGTTTGGTCCAGGTAGGGCTTATAGTTACTTGGGAACGGACCTGCTCCAAAAACTTTAACCTGGTCACTCATCTGGAAAATCTAGGTCAGATCCAGCAACTGAAGCAAGTGTGGTAGTGTCTATATCTAAATGCATCATCCATGCAAGTTTGGTCCAGGTAGGGCTTATAGTTACTTGGGAACGGACCTGCTCCAAAAACTTAACCTGGTCACTCATCTGGAAAATCTAGGTCAGATCCAGCATCCGAAGCAAGTGTGGTAGTGTCCATCCCTAGATGCATCATCCATGCAAGTTTGGTCCAGGTAGGGCTTATAATTACTTGGGAATGGGACTTGCTCCTAAAACTTTAACCAGGACGATGCTAACGCCGACGCCGGGGGTATAGCATAAGCTCATCTCGACTTCGTCGAGGTGAGCTAAAAATATCTTATTTAAAATTTATCAATTACAAAACTATAAAAGGATAATATATATTTATTATAAAACTAAATAAAAAGGTTATAATTTTCATATAACTTAACTTCCAGTATTTTTTTTTGGGGGGGGGGATGAAAAGTAGACACAACAGGAGAAGCCTTATTCGATGATGTAGAAAAGTGTTGGATGAAGCACCTGTTACATAGAGACAACCGTCCACTGGGGCCACAGCTGGACTGGTCAATGCCATCTTCATATTGGAGATGTAACACCAGACATTGGTGTAAAGGTTATACTGTTCTACAGTATCCAGTCTCATAGTCCCGTCCCAGCCTCCTACAGCATACATGTATCCATCTAGCATAGCCAGTCCTGAAAAATAACAAATACAGGTATTTACTTGTACATGTATTACATATTGACAAAGTCAATATAAATTTTATCACATATCTTAATATTAAGCCATATTTAATTTAACAGAAATTTTTACTTTGGAATTTTTGATTGACAATGATTGTAAATTAACTGGTTTTTAAGCACAACAGCAGTTTAACTAATTCAGTTGAGCTTGCCTAGAGGTGGAATTTACGTAGTCCAAATATTACTTAGCCCAGATTCTACCTCAGAATAATATCTTATATAATGCCCCTAAAGAAGAAAAATTCCTGAATCTGCCCTTGAATTGTGTCTTTTGCTCTCTTAGAAAATTTAATTATAGAGTAAGTGAAGGCCTTTGTTATACTGAATGAATTAATTTATTGATAGTAATGGTGAGAACATTGTCTCTACTGAAAATAGGAGGACGCTCCTAGTAAATCATTTTCCGTGAAGGAATGAAAGATTTTCTATGAAAATATATGTTGTCTTTTCATTTTCCTTCGGTTCTTTCTCTGGTTAATATTATACCAAATGCTGTTAAAAACACGAAATTGACTGCAGTTTAGGTAAAACCAATTTTATTTTCAGTGTGAAACACAAGTGAGGTTTACGTGAGCTCAGCTCAAATGGGATTTAAACCCAGTTTACTTGACTCAGGCTTACTTGATAAACTTAGCTTACCTAAGCCATAGGTATGAATAAGGGCAATAGTCTACCTAACTCAAATCTTACCTAGCTCAGATCTTGGAGTCTGCATGCTTTGCATTTCATCCCAGGTATCCAGACATGGATCATACCTCCAGACACTCCGACTGGCATTTCCATCTGGATACTCCCCTCCAGCCAGATACAGGTAGGATCCACCTTAGATGTCAATGATAAAGTATTTCCATTCCATCAGATTCAATGTTTTAGAAACTGGTACAATGAACAAATCAATAGTTCTTGCATACTATATGCATAAAAATTGCTGAAAATTCATTGATATGCCTATATTAGATGAAATGTCTCTCGTAAAGTTAATAGACTTGACAGGCTGAAATTTATAAACTCTTTTCTTTTTCTTTAATTCTTTTTCAATTATCAGTATCTTCAAAAATTAAAAAAGGGCATCTAATGTAAATGACTAGAATAGTATCTTACCAACAGACACAAGTCCATGTTTACTGATTGCAAATGGCAGACAAGCTAGTGGTTTCCAGGTCAGTGTGTTTGGATCAAAAGTCTCCACACTCCTCAACACCACCTTATCATCCTCTCCTCCCACAGCCACCACCACCTCCACAAAACCTGTAAACATTTAAATCAGAGTAAAGCTGCCTCCACAAAACCTGTAAACATTTAAATAGAATACAGCCACCTCCACAAAACCTGTCAACATTTAAATCAGAGTAAAGCCACCTCCACAAAACCTGTAAACATTTAAATCAGAGTAAAGCCGCCTCCACAAAACCTGTAAACATTTAAATAAGAAACCTCACAAAAACTGTAAACATTTAGATAGAGTAGTACAGCTACCACATCTTAAAAACCTGTAAACAATGAAATATGACACAGTACAACCACCGCCACCTCCACAAATTCTGAAAAAATGAAATAAGGCAGCTAGAGTATAGACAGCACAACCTCAACAAAACTTGTAAACAATGGGGAAAAAACACATCCACTATGCCTCCAAAAAACCTGACAACACTTTAAAGAATAGTCACAATCAACTCTACAAAACCATTAAGCAATTTAAATCAGAAAAATACAGTTATCACCAACTCCCAAAAACATAAAAATACCCTGTAAATTAAGTTTCAAATTAGATAGGAACATGTTTGGCAGCAGAGTTAAGATTGTGCAAAAAATATTTAACAACTAAATATATTGCATTAACTAGAAAACTGACCAGTCTGCAAGGGCCCCGCGAGGGGTAGAAATATAAGGGTGCAGCTAACAGAATGAGAATTTTAATTGATTACAAAAATTTAAAAATATATGAAGAAGAATATGCAATAACAACTGTATTTATAAAATTTCAAGATAATTCCTACATATCCAACAACCTGTAAAGATCGAGTATCCCTGTATTTACATAAGGCAGCAAAAAAACATCACATCTATAATTACTCAATTAAATGTATATTTAAACAAGAATACAGCATGTGTTTTCAAATATCACCCAGGCTTGACCTTAACTTCAAAACAAACATCAGTTGCAGACAAAGGTTAATTTATCTTAAAGTGACAAATAAAGATAAGCCTGGAAAATCTTCTGCCCCAGACAAGATAATTAATCCCAAGGGATTAATTGTACTGCTCTCTTATCCTTTTCTTCCAAGTTTACAATCAGAACTCTTTCAGTAATGATAGAATAAGATTATTATTGGACTACCCATTATAATTAACAGATTTCTTGAATTTACATATGACAGCCAAAAGAAAAATGAATAAATAAATAAAATAAATCTTTATGTTTATCTTGTTTTTAGAATTCAATAAAATCATAACTCATTGTATATTTTACCAAAATAAAGTATGAACATTATTTAAATCCACATTTCAGAGAATGTAAACATCATTCAGAATTGACCTTAACTTCAAAACAAACTTCATCTGCAGACACAGGTGTTAATTAATCTCAATTTGACAGAAACAGATAATGCTTTGGATTTTCTTCAAGAGGAAAGTTAATTAATCCCATGGGACTAGTTGCAGCTTTCATAGTTTACAATAGGAACATTCTCAGCAGTTATCTCTCTTTGCCCTGGCATTCATTCTAATGTAAAGTTAAGGAATCTACCCCACCACCCCAGCTCCAAAGTGGATGACATAGAGAACCAAACTTAGCATCAAAATATGTCTTACTGTCTCTTCAACCAACATACCAAATTTGAACTTAATTGGTCAACTACAAAAAAAATTATTAGAAAAAAACAGAAAATTTGTGGACAGAAGAATGACAGACGGACAGACAGACAGACAGACAGACAGACAGACAGAGTGATTACTATAGTGCACCCGCAAATCCTTGCGGGGCCCTAATGAAGATTAAATTCTTACATTTTCCCAGCTATCACTGATTTATACCACTGACAAATAAACTTTCCTCTCATATAACCAATCCATACAACTGTAAATGTAATACTGCTACATGTATATTGGTAATGTTAACACTACTACTAGCATCTAGTACTTATAGTAGTGACATATATTATTTGTACCTGCTGATTTACGTATCCTCATGCGTTTATTGTTGAATTCAGTCCTTCTGTCAGGAAGAAGGTGGAAATTCTTAGCTTCATCCACCAATTTCTTACATTGTTCACAAGCTTTAATGACATCATTCTGTTCCACAAAGTCGTGTAGGTAGTACGGGTTAATCATAGGTAATCTGACACACTCTAACACATGGTAGAATTCTCTTATTCGACTCTCACTGCTGTGATCCAGCCAGCGCATTGCTGCCTCATAAACCGTCTCCTCAGAATCCACAATCAGTTCATCATCAGACAGTAGCTCTGTCAGTTTGCTTTGAGACAGGTTGTTGAATTCCTCGTGCTGGGAGACAGCTGTGAAGTTTTGCAGGATAAAGTCTTTAGACTTAAGTTGAAGTTCATCACAAGCATGGATTTCAGCAAAACAGTGGATGCCTACTGCATTTGTTTCATCCATATTCTGTTCTAAATAATGACAGCAAGCTTCTTTGACTTGAATGATCTCCAGCAAGTTAGAGGCAGCGAGGAGACTTTGCACATTTTGTCTGTTTATAGTGATTTCTGATGTGTATGCATAGTCCAAAAGTTTTTCTAAAATAGATGACTCAATTCCATTTATGGTAACCTTGCTTTGCTGGCTTTCTACCATATTACCGCTAAACATGGCATCAAAGTATGAACTGAAAGCAGCTAGAACACACCTATGACAAGGGAATTCCCGTCCATCAACACACAAGGTAACATCACAAAGCTTACCATTCCGTCTCAATGTCTGCATACCTGCTAACATCTGAGCTGGGTGGGACACCTCGGCATACCGGTAATCATCCCCCGACTCACAGGATCCATTAATGCTCATTACAGACTCCATGCTTCCTCGATTTCCTCGTAGGAGAGAAGGACAAAAATTCACAGGTAGGGAAACTGTATCACGCTTTCCCAAATACACTGCCATTCTAATAAAGTTCTGTGTTCTACAGATACATCTTTAATGTCACCTAAAAAGAATGATTTTTTCTTGTATAAAGCTGAAATTCAATATGTCAATTTTTTACAACTGAATCGACATAAAATTGATTATCATGGCATAAATGCTTACATGAATTTAATCATTTATTTTAATTGCAGAAGTTTTGATAAAAATTAATTCTGTATCATGATCACAGTATATTTGTCATTTTAAGTAACTAGTTATAATTAAATTTCAAGTGCTAAATACAATCTAATCAACCAAAGAGGTTAAAAATCTATGGAATGGTTTTCTGTATGAACTTTGGACACTGCATCCTTTGAAACTTTTTAGAGTGGGGACACAGAGGAAAAGGAAGGGGAAACTAACTGGGACTCAAACCTTGATCCTTATTTTGAATCTTGTCTCTGCTTCTCACTAGTATGATTTTATGAATATATTCTTCCAATATCAGATACATAATTTATGTAGCCACCCCCATCCAAAATACATGGTCCAGCACAATCTATTGATTTAGTTATATCAGGGACCTATATACTAATGGGATAGGCAACTCCTTCAGCGCCATGTTTATTTACCCAAAACGGCACACACAACACTGCAAGTTTTTCAAACTATGTTTTTTCCCAGTAAAAAGCCTGTTTTCTGATTAATGTAATCTGTTCTTTTTGTGTATCGGAATGGATATTTAATAAATTTTAAAGCACATATTATAAAATAATTTAGATATAAAGTAAACAACCACCAAAATCGGCGATTTCTCAGAAATACGGCTGATCAGGGGTACGCACTGATTTTTAAATAAACGTAATTACTTCTAAGATAAGGAGTAAAAACAGTGCTAATAACAAATCTTGAATAATTTTTTGATAGATAAATTAAGATTTTATTCTGAAATATTTGATAGCAAAAGAGATATATTTATTTAAAATTGACTTACGAAATCCCGCAACTTACGAGATATTGCGAGACTTTCGAGAGTTGCCTATCCTGTTAGTATATAGATCCCTGGTTATATACTCAGAATAGCTTGATTTAGCCATTTTACCATACATTTTTCTTAAATTTGTTATTTTTTCAGCATTTACAAAAAGTCACACTTTGGCACAGTGATGGTATTCAATCTTGAACTCTTTTGAAAACAATGCATGTAAAAATTGCTCATCAAATTACATCTCCTTTAGAGACTTTGTACTCAAAGTTCTAAAAGTTTGGGGCTATATAAAGCAATTGATTCGTGACCACACAGTTACTTCTTGAATGAAATTATAAAGGAGGTCAGTTCTGCTCAACAATTAAGATAATTGATTGGTAATAATTCAGCACAATGTGAAGCAATCATACTTATCCACACCTCAATGTTCACAAGGTGTGAACAGTTATCCAAACAATGGAAATACTTATGATTAAAAGTAATTCAAAGTTGCAATGTCAGAACTATCTTTGATTTGTATATGCTTTTTTGATAGTCCACAGTACACGTACACTGATATACACTGTATGAATAGGGAAACCCTTGCAACTTTTTATCTTTTTCTTACAAAAACATTTTTTCCGAAAAACTGCATATAAAAATAGCTTTATCAAGCTATTCTGAATAGGTTAATAAAGCTATATAGCTAATTCATGAGATTATGCTGAACTTGAAATAAACAGGTTGAGTTTGTACAGTAGGAGTAATTTAAGTTGATTCTGGTGCTCTTTAACAACAAACCTTCGGAGTTCCACCTACTGTGGCATTCTTTATCTAAAGTGCTCTTGATAATATGGCTTCCGAATTTTTTTTTTTTTCCAAATCAACAATTTCAGTTCGATTTAAAAATCAAAATATTTTCCTCCATACGCGAGAGGTATAATATGTATGCTTTTTTGGATCTCGTAACCAGCCTCTATAACCAGGCAGAGCGCATGCGCGCAATAAATTTCCATCGAGATCGGAAAACACCAGGGAGGAAATTCGGAATATATAATGGAAACTAGTAATGCGGAATGATACTATAGTCAGATCCAGAAATTTATGCATAATTCGATCAACTTTTATTTAAAAAAAAAACAGAAAAATAAATGAATCAACTTTACAGTTAGTTTTTATTTATTCATTTTATTTATTTATGTATTTTATTTTATTTTATTTATTTATTTATTTATTTATTTATTTATTTATTTATTTATTTATTTATTTATTTATTTATTTATTTATCAATCATTCTTATAATTAATTAACTAAGTAACTGATTAATTCATTAAAAAATGTATTTATGTATTTTTTTTTAAATTAATTTATTACATTCTTTCGTTCATTTATTAATCATTCCATCCATTAATTAATTGTCTATTATTTAATTCTTTCATTTATTAATTTGTGTGTATGTTTGTTTATTTATTTATTTATTATTCTAATAATTAAATAATAAAATAAATGATCAATTCATTAAGAAGTTCATTTATTTGTTTGTTTGTTTATTTATTTATTATATTCATTCTTTCATTTATTCCTATTCTATTAATTAATTAATTTATTTATTTATTTATTTATGCATTTATTTATTTATGCATTTATTTATTCGTATGTTTATTTATTTTTTTTTTTATTTTTTATTTCTTGATTGATTTATTTATGCATTTATCATTGATCACTTTTATAAATTAATTGTTTTTACAGGGTTTGTATACTTATTACCAGGGTTTGTTTTTGTTTTGCCATAGTTTGTATACCATCACCAGGGTCTGTATTTCTATCACCAGGGTTTTGATATCTATCACCATGGTCTGTACATCTATCACCATGGTCTCTATTTCTATTATCAGGGTCTGTATTATCCATCACCAGGGTGTGTGTATCTATCACCAGGGTCTGTATTATCTATTACCAGGAACTGTATATCTATCACCAGGGTCTGTATTATCTATCACCAGGGTCTATATACCTATCACCAGGGTCTGTAATATCTATCACAAGGGTCCTTATACCCATCACCAGGGTCTGTATACCTATCACCAGGGTCTGTATAGCCATCACCAGGGTCTGAATACCTATCACAAGGGTCTGTATACCCATAACAAGGATATGTATGCCCATCACCAAGGTCTGTTTACCCATCACCAGGATCTGTATACCCATCACCAGGGTCTGTATACCCATCACCAGGGTCTGTATTATCTATCAACAGGGTCTGTATACCCATCACCAGGGTCTGTATACCTATCACCAGGGTGTGTATTATCTGTCACCAGAGTCTGTATACCTATCACCAGGGTCAGTATACTTATCACCAGGGTCTATATACCCATCACTAGGGTCTGCATACTTATCTCTGGGGTGTGTATTTTCCTTCACCAGAGTCTGTATACCTATCACCAGGGTCTGTATATCTATCACCAGGGACTGTATTATCTATCACCAGGGTCTGTATACCCATCACCAGGGTCTGTATACCAATCACCAGGGTCTGTATATCTATCACCAGGGACTGTATTATCTATCACCAGGGTCTGTATACCCATCAGCAGGGTCTATATACCTATCACCAGGGTCTACATACCCATCACCAGGGTCTGTATACCCATCACCAGGCTCTATATACCCATCACCAGGGTCTATATACCTATCATCAGGGTCTATATACCTATCACCAGGCTCTATATACCTTTCACCAGGGTCTAAATACCCATCCCCAGGGTCTATATACCCATCACTATGGTCTATATACCTATCACCAGGTTCTGTATTATCTATCACCAGGGTCTATATACCTATCACCAGGGTCTATATACCTATCACACTGCAGGGTTTGTAATACATGTATCTATCAACAGGGTCTGTTTGTCTATCAATAGGGTCTGTATACCAAAGCTTTGGCCATATATTCAGGATTAAAAGTTTTGTAAAAAAAAAAAAAGGTCAAATGTCAAGGTCATAGATCATGGGCAATATACATTCCAGTAACTTGTTATAGTTTTGTCACGGGCATTGTACAGGTGAATTACGAAAACATATATTTCATTCCATACTAAGCTTAGGTCAGGGTTATTATTTTTTTATAAGTATATCAAATTTCACAAGGTCATAAGATAAAAAAAAAAATAATAAATTCAGAAGGATTTTGTAATTCGTAATTCATATGTGGAATATGAGAGTCCGATCTTTTCAAAATTATTATGTATTTTCTATCAGATGAATATTTCTTGAAATTGATAAACTAAACAAAAAATTATGACCAATGTTCAAGTTTTTGTGATGAACAAACACATAGACTGTCCCGGCGGATTTGCTTTAGCAATAGAGAATAATTGAATAAAATTCCATGAAAGATAAAATGATAATTATGATAAAACGTTTTATTTGAAGTAGTGAAATCTATATCTTTCCAAATTAATTTTATTAGCAATACATATATTCAAAGAATAGATAGATAGAAAGATAGATAGATTCTTTATTTCCAAATCAGGGCCCTTTCAGGCATCACAAACAACAAGTATGATTTCTACAATTACAAACAGTACAGACAATTTATGTGTATACTAAATAATAATCTACAGTACATGTATTTGTATATTGTACAATTTGACACTGTATATGTAAGTAATGTTGATAAATGAAATAGTACTACCGTGTACCCTAATGCAAGGTGGGGAGATTTTACAGTCCTCGCATTGCAAAAGATACCACGTGGCAATGCAAAAGTACTAACTATTACAAAACATAAAGTGTCAATTTTTGTATGTATTATTATTACATATATTTACATGTACTATATATTTAAAGAAAATGTTGCAATGTGACTTATATGCATAATATTTTTAAATGGCTTGTCTATCTAGTTTACATACAGCAAAAAGCACTTCAATATTTTCACAGTTTAGAACCCACAACAACTTATTTTCATTATTTAAATGAGCAAAATTGATACAGTGTGTTTGTATAATATTCATCATATTCTCTCTTTCTGTAACATAATTCAAACAATCAAAAAGTATGTGTTTTTCATCTTCAATAACACTCATTGAGCATTTAGTACAAAGTCTTTGATCTCTAGGAATGCCCAAATAACGACCTCTTTCTATTTGTAAATTGTGAGAAGATGTACGCAACCTACATATTACTTTCCTTTGTTCAAATGGTAGGCAAAGTAAATATTTTTCAAGTCCAAAATTTGTTTTGATCTTAACATAAGTATCCAGTTTACCTTCTTGTGACAGTCTTATTAAGTTCCACTCATTCATGAAATATGCAAATAATTTTCTGCATGTAGTCTTGAAAGTTTGCAAAGAATAAGACGCGTAGATAGTGTGTATCAACCCCCCCCCCCCTTTCCATTTATTTTTGTAAACTTTAAAAAATATCATGCTGGCAATTTTTTTATGCTTGGTAAAATAAAAACTGATATATGAATAATTTGCGGTCTAAATTTATTTCATATAAACACACTGCCCACACGTTAGGTGCCTGTAAACATTTATGTGCAACAGAGGCAATTGATGCTACCTTTTTTGTATATATATGAGGTAAAAAGGTTTTTTTGTTATAAATACCTCCTGCATTAACAAGTGAGGTTTGAAATATTAAAATTTTATTTTAAGAAAATGTTCCGAAGAATCGACTATCGTTCGAATAATGTTATCGAATAGTCGACTAAGGAAAATAAATATTTTGACATCCCTAAAAAATACACAGTAACAAGATTTCGACTATGAACTTTTCGCATTATCGCATAATTAAATATGAATCACAGGAATTTTTAAAATGTAATTGTAAAGTATTCACAACCTTCAAAAGTAGATCACAAGATAATCGAATATTAATTATAAAATTGAGTGAGTTTGTTTCTTATCGGACTATATCTTTGTGATTTCAAGTAATTTTACCATGTATCGTACATTTTTGGGCAATTTCTTAGAAAGTCAATATTTCTAATCATGTGCAGGCAAACACAATCTGTGATTAATGTGTTTACTCTTGATTCTACTTGTTTTAAAAACAAAATATTTCATAGAATTTACCTGTATTAGACTAGATGTACAATTTGCAACCAGTTCAAGCGTTATCAATTCTTTAATTTATTTGGATAAGATAAATTAATCTAACGCTTTACTCGCATTTTCATACCCCAGTATCGAAGATTCGGGGGTATATAGTTTTTGCTCTGTCCGTCCGTCTGTCTGTTTGTCCGCGAAAACTTTAACCTTGCCCATAATTTTTGATTGGTTGGAGCTATGGCTTTCATATTTCACATGTGTATTCCTTGTAACAAGACCTTTCTCTGGATACCACCATATTTGACCTTTTGACCTTGGAGTTTGACCCAGTTTTGCAAATTTTTACCAAACTTTAACCTTGGCCATAACTTTTGAACGTTGGTGCTAAGGCTTTCATACTTCACATATATAATCCTTGTGACAATACCTTTTTTGGACACCAACAACTTTGACCTTGATCTTGAAGTTTGACCTACTTTTGACAAACTTTAACCTTGGTCATAACTTTTGAACGATTGGTGCTTTGGCTTTCATATTTCACCTGTGTATTTTTTGGGAGAAGGCCTTTCCTTGGGCACCATTAATTTTGACCATTTGACCTTGACCTTGATGTTTGACATACTTTTGAAAAAAAACTTTGACCTTATACATATCTATTGCTACTGGGGCTTTCATATTTCACAGGTTTATTCCTCGGGACAAGACCTTACTTTGGGTACCAACATATTTGATTTGCATTTGAGAAAGTTTAACCTTCGCTATAAGTTGCCATACGGGGGCATCAGTGTTTCACAAACACATCTTGTTTTCTGTAACGGTGATTTTTGTACATCGGTATTGGGGGAATTCAAATT